TTCAGGACCAGGCAACAACTCACACCCAGAACGATGCCCACACGTCACTGCCAGGGAAGCCACACGGATGGGATTTCTGACACCGAGCGCTCACCACAGCTCCGTGGCACTTCAACACAGGCACACCGCGATGAGTAAACCCGACTTCAACGGGAATTAATGCCTAACACCTCCAAATGCTTACAGATACCGATCCGAGCAGCAGTATTGCAGGACCTCTACAGTTACACCATTAAAAATAATAATAAATCCAAAATAGGTTCACTTTTAGCTGTACTCTCAAAGCATAAACAACCCAGCCATGCAGAGGCTTCAGGGCCAGTATCTGAAGATAAACAGGTGAAGCATTGCAGCCATTCTTGCCTCTTACACCTATTGATCCTGGGACACCTGGCAAATATATCTGCGGTGTTGTTGACAGGATGTACGCCTGTTAAATGATCTCAGAGCGTGGCCAGGCCCGTGCCTTGCAGGAGACACAGCCAAGTCCCTCCATTGATTTTGGTCCAAGTCACTGGGAAGCCCAACCCTGCGCAGAGGCAGACCACGGCAGACACTGCTACAGTGGGATGGAATGGAGACTTGCAGTATCTACCCTCATTTTGTCCCCCAAAAGCACCGGTGAGAAGGAAATCCGCTGTGTGAGCTGCCTAGCTACTGAGTGCACAGCACTATAAAAATTCATCAAAGGTTCCCCCTGCAAGCTGGTCCTGCCCTTCCTCTTGCTATTCACTTCACTTCTATTCTATAGAGATGAATGCTGACCACTTCCACACTCCTCCTCCCTGCTTTCAGTGGGACCATCCTCCCCACGTGACAGGTGGGCACATACTGCACAGGCAGCACCCCTGGGTGCTGGTGCTCCCTGAGCACACAGGGGTGCAGAGCACCCAGTTTGGCACCAGCCCACACACCCAGGAAACCCCAGGGCAGCCGTTACACACCTCAGGATGGCTTTTAACTGGCTCACTCATGGTGGTGGTGGTTGTCCCCTACTCGCAGGGGCTGGCAAGGGACAGACCTGCTGGCTGTCCTTGAGCCAGGTCCTCTGCTTAAGCGCCACAGAATGACCCCGGCTGTGATCCCAGAACCTCACTGCCTTTACCCACCCACCCCAACATTTTCTAAAAGAAGTGCCCAGACAGGGCAGAGAAGGGGAAGGGGAAGCCTGGAGGGACATGGCAGGTACCTTCAGCTGGCACTGTGGGAACAGCCACGTTCCGGGGCACCAGCAACCCAAGGCACGACTACTGGACATCACACAGTACCTGGACACCTCCGTCCACCTGTGGTTACCCCCGGGCAGTAAAGCCATTTTCCCTGGCTGCTGCAGAGGCTGCATTCCAAGATGAGTTTTCTCCCGGGTGACAGCAGTCTGGGGAGGATTCATCATGCTGTAACTTCCATCAGCTCCATCCCATTCAAATCCCCAGCACTGCCCTGGGTTTCTGCCCCATGTCTGAGCTGCGCCAAGGGCTTAGCCTGGGGTGAGGGGGCAGCTGGCTGAGCTGGGATGGGCTGTTCAAGACAGCATGAGCCCATAGCAGATTATTTTAATTAAAATAATGAAAAAATAATTAAAGAAATCACTGTTCCCTCAGCTGGTGGCGAGGCAATGCCAGCTCTGTCCTCAGCCGCTCACACAACAGGGAAAGCAGCTGGATTGCTGACCCGGGAGGATTCGGGAGGGAGCCGAGAAGCCCAGGGCAGTGCCACTCGGGCAGGACGGGCAGCGGGGTAGGCAATAGCTGGCACTGCCCACAGTGCAGGCTGGAACGCCCAAACCAAGCAGGCAGAGCAGGAGCTGCAAAGCAGCCTGGTGCCTCGCACACCCTCGGGGCAGAGCATGGGATGAGGAAGGTTTGCAGACCACGGCTGACCATCACCCCCAACTGTCACTGCACTCCTGCCCGGCCCCCCAGGGTAGATGACAGGCAGGGTGTGCATCAGCACTGCTGGTAGCCACCTGCCCATGCACCCCAGAGCTCGGCACGTGTCTGGGATTCCTGCAGTGCAACCAGCCAAGGCAGCTTCCAGCGCCTGGGCATGTTTTCCTCAGGATTTCTACTTTAAACAGCCTTTTATGGTACAAAAGAGTGAAATCTGGTCTTCTCCTGACATTCCACGCCCAGAGAGCAGAAGGATGGATATCACCATAGTTTAACTCTTCAAGGGGCTCCCCCAAGTGCCAGAAGCAAATGGGACTCAAACACCCATATACAACAGCACAGGTACACAGAGGTAGTTGGGTGTCTGCAGAGCCCGGCTGCTGTGTCCTGCTAATTAGTTCCTAGCAATAATCTTACATACAGATATGTCACTTCTTCCCCCCAAAAAGGATTCGTGTAGCCTCAAAGACATTTCACAGAATCATGTGCTAAGGTAACCATCCACTTTGGGTAAGGTACACACTGACATTGGAGGAGAAAAAGAAATGCCCCACTAGACAACTCCACTTTGCAGTTAGCAGCTAGGGTGATGCTAATGATAGCACAGCCCTTTTATAAACCATAATAATCGATTTTCACAATCTGTCTGCAATTACTCTCTGTCCTGCATTTGGAAACTGAGGTAAGGTTCAAGGCCAAGGAGAAAGTTGGTGGCAGAGCTGGGATTTAACCAAGGACCCTCCTGAGACAAAGTGATCTGTACTCTAGGCTGCAAAACTGAGCTGAAAGGAGGAGGAAGGAGAGCATGAGTCAGATTTTCAAAAGGCAGTAGCTAGAGGGGGTGGCTCTGCCCAGAGCAACACACAGAGGAATAAACGTTGATGGAAACGGTGAGTTATAGTTTACAGGATGGAGGAGCCCGGATTCTCCTCGTAGCAGGTCCAGCTCAGCTGCCGGCAGAGGCTCAGGATGGGGCCAGGGGCATCGCACTCCTGGGGAAAGCCGTGTCCTCCTCCCCTGCCCCAACAGCCGCAGGGTCTGCAAGGGGAGGACTCCCTAGAGGAAAACGGCTTTAACGTCTTATTTCCTCCAGCTCCAAGGTTTCCTTAATAGGAAATTATTCCCCAGCTGCGCTGGGCAGGGATGCAGTCCTCCTCAGGGCAGCGGGCGCATTCCAGCCCCTGATGGAAAGCACTGTGGAGCCGCTTTTGATCCAAAGTGTAAATAGTGTATAATAAAAAGAGGCTTGTGTAAACCAGCCAAGCTCTCAAAGAGAAGCTTTGCAGCTCCAGCCTCCTTATTTACAGGCACGCAGTGAGGCGGCCGCACGCTTTTCCCAGGCATGGTGAAGCCGGTGTCGGGCTGAGCCTGCCCTGCTGGGAGGATCCAACGGGCCCCATACCACCCCAGCCTGTTATTTTTATCCTGGCTGGCCCTGCATGGCGTTTCACTTGCAATTCCACTGTTTCTTCTCCACCAGTCTCCGAGGCAACTGGATTTTGCTAAAAAAACGATCATGCTGCCAGCAAAACTTTGGAGCAGAAAGGGCCAGCAGGAGAGTAGAGCCAGGGTTTCTCTGAGGGGAGGGATGGGGTTTGGGAGCAGGCATCCTCCTCGCTGACGTTGTTTCCCATCTCTGCTTGATAACAAAGGGACTTCGATAATTAAACAGCACTAAAAAGGGGCAAGGCAGGAGAGCCCTGGAGCCCAGCCACTGCCCAGCAGCTGAGCAAAGCCTGCATGGGGTAAGGTTTCCATGGAGCGGCAGGGTGAAACCTCGAGGTCTGTCGTAACCATGTTTCCCCAGGGAAGAGGAGAGGAGCAAAGGTTCCAACGCTGCCTGATGGTCCCTGGTCTCTGCCAGGCTGGCTCCGGCTCTGAGACTGGCAGGGAAG